CACATTGCTGGGTCTCATGACGTCGTGACGAAAGGCGTCGCGACGCCCGGCGTCGCTTTTCTAGTATAGTCTTCAGTGACGTCTAACTACATCTGCGGTGTCTTTTGCGTCATCAGATGGTGTAGTGATGCTCGGCGGCGCGACGCCTGGCGTCGATGTTCCAACTCTTTCGCCAGTGTTATTTCAAGGGCTTCAAATTTCTTGCTTGTTGTAATGGCGCAGTTAAGTGCATGTTAGGTTGGCCAGGCGTCGGTTTTCTAACTTCGTCAGCAGTGATATTTAAATTCATCTCCGATAAATTTGGCGCCATTATAGGGCGTCGCAATGTTCGGCGTCGCGACGCCAGGCGTCGGTTTCCTAAAGTTGCAATCAATGTTATCCAAATCGTTCGAGTCACATTCCTGGGTCTTGTGATGACGTGACGATAGGCGTCGCGATCACGGAGAAACCGGGGAAACCCCGGAGTAATACTCCGTGATGCCTAGACCTTCCCAACACAAGTTGTAAATCTGAGCACCGCCTGGAATCGAACCCGGGACGCCAGTATTACAAGCCCAGCGTTCTAACCGCGGTAAATTAAGGACTAATATAATAAAATAGACCTCATCCTTTGCATTTCATCTTTCATAGTTTTCCACTATATGTAATCTATGCGGTTTATAAAGAGTTAGTAAGTAACCTTAGAAAAATATAAGGCCTAATTCATCAGACCCGTAAATTTCACCACGCTAATTATGCTTTTAATACTCGTTTAATAAATTAGACGTGCGCAAAACAGAATGAGAATACCTGGACAGAAGTAATTAGATTAATACACAGTGACAAATTTACTTTTCCCTTTGAATGCTTACTTTTCCAATCTGACTCTGTTTTTCGGAATCAGAATCCATCTTCGTCTCAGGATGTTCATGACCATAATAAAACGATGAAAAGTTGATTGTCTGAAAAACGAGGATACGAGGATTTTTTATTATCTACACTGTGCATTATCTGAGGCACAAATAATACATACTGTTACAATGTTTCAGCATCTGGTTCTGCTCCCTTCTTCAGGTCAATGACTGTCATTGATAGATAATGGAGTCTGATGCTTATCATATGAATCTAGAATACAAAAGTTTTTTTTCAGTTTAATCCTAATTGTCCCCATGAGTGCAAATAATAAATGTAAGAATGTTCATCAGTTTAATGACATAAATCCACCTGAAATGCAAGAGCGTAGTCCTGAAAGACGGTACATATAGGCATACCTCGTTATATTGCGCCTCGCAGATTTTTTTTTTTGATATTGCTTTTTTTTCAAATTGTGGCAACCCTGCGTCGAGCAAGTCTATCGGCGTCATTATTTTTCCAAAAGCAAATGCTCACTTCGTGTCTCTGTGACACATTTTGGTAATTCTCGCAGTTTTTTGAGACATAATGCTATTGCTCACTTAATAGACTTCAATATAGTCTAAACATAACTTTAATATGCACTGGGAAACCAAAAAAATAGTGTGACTCGCTTTATTGCGGTGGTCTGAAACCGAACCCGCAATATCTCCGAGGTATGCCTGTATTAAAGAGGTACCTCAGACAATTAGCAATACTCACTGTAATCACAGTGTGAATCAGTCCGTACCAGTTGTGTTCATATAAAATCATTTAGTAATTTAGTATCAGTTTTAACATCAAATTAATCTTAAAGTTCTTAATTGAATATAAGCCTTATTGAAGTTGAAATTGCCATTGGGAAATTAAAACGTTATAAATCTGTAGGCATCGACTCAGTTCCAGCGGAACTATTTCATGCAGGTGGTAGGACACTGCACTCAGAGATACATAAGCGTATAGTTTCAATTTGGAACCAGACAGTACTACCACAACAGTGGAAAGAATAAATTGTTACTATCCTTAGAACACGTGACAAAACTGAGTGCTGTAACTTCTGAGGTATCTCTCTTTTGTAGCCATACAAAATTTTATCGAATATTCCTCTGGCATGGTTAACGCCATTTATGAATGAAATTATTGTAAACGATCAATGTGGATTCCATTGTAATAGGTCGACTATTGATCAGATCTTTTGTATTCGACAAATATTAGAGAAAAAGTGGGGGTATAATGGGTCAGTTCACCAACTATTTTAGGACTTTAGGAAGGCATATGACTCAGTTAGAGGAGAGATACTGTGTGGCATTTTGACTTTGGAATACCAAAGAAACTTGTTAGGTTAATTAAGATGTGTGTGGATGGGGTATCTAGTAGAGTTCATATAGGTAAACTTCTGTCAGATCCTTTCCCAGTGCACTATGACCTGAAACGGGGATGCTTTATCCCCAATGCTTTTTAATTTTGCTCAAGAACACGCCATCAGGAAGAGTCCATATGAATTGCTGAGGTGTAAAAAGAATTTTAAGCTTGCATTTGCCTGGGACTGGGTGAACACTAGTACAGAAAATATTGTGAAACAGGGCCCAAGATTTGAATCTAAGACCTTCTGAACAGAAACGTGCTCTAACCATTCAACCGCTACGTTCAGTAAGTGGGGTGGGGGGGGGGGGGGG